ATGCCTCAAAACTATGTTTTTTTCTTTTTTTTATAGGGATTTGGTGGCGCTATAAACTTGATAATGTAGCATATAAATGTAATAAATTGTTTATTCTCATCACAATTCAAATCTTTATAAAGGGATCTCTGCAAGAAAAAAATATAGAATAAATTACTTTCTCTATTCACAAGCAAAACTTTATGAAAAGTTTATGGCATGGATAAGAAAATTAATAAAATTAATTACTTTTTTAGGACTTTAGTAATTTTTATCGGCGTTAATATTAGTTATCGCGTTCACACTACGCTGCAAGAATAATTTAAAGTTAATTTTTAATGTAAAGGAAGATATCATCAACATTCCTTACGTGCTTTTTTATATCATAAAATCTATTAATAACATGATTTTTTGGACTACAAACACTTAAATTTCATCTTGCAATAACATAAAAATATATTTACTTACAAGGTACAGGAGAGAGGAAATGTTGGACTTCCAGAATAAATTACTTTCCCTTTGGTCGCAAGGTAAGCCTTTACTGTGCAGGCATCTACTTAGCTCGTGATTTTCATGGCAACACTTCCTGTTTAATTTGGAATAAAATCCTTTGTACAATAAGTAAACTGCAGTCAAACAATATTCACTGAGTCCGTGAGTGTATGAATTTGTTTTCATTGTTGAAGCCATTTTTATTATTTAATGTTTTATTTTAGATTTTAAGTTTAATTTCATATTTAATTTATTTATTTTTTAATTTAATTTAAGATTTTGTGTTTTCTACCATGTAAAGATTGATTTCCGAACCATTTAAAGTGGTGTAAGATTTTTAAAGAGACAAATTGAGTAGTAGATCTTTTCTAGGTTTAACTTTTATAAGTTTTGATGTTAAGCCTCGTGGTTTGTCAAAATACTCCCAGATTTCAGGTAAAAAAATAAACGATAATGTATGCACATTGAACTATCCATTGTTTATGATTTTATTTTATTTTTGTTAAAAAAATTTAATAGACTTGGACACTAGCCCAAATTCACCTCGCTAGAGAGAGGCTACACTCGTATGGGTTTAAGTCTAGACGCATCTCCTCTTATTTTTTTCATATTATTATTTCTAAATTTTTTGACAATTAATTTGTTGAATTTCTTTTTTGTGCTTTTTTTTATTTAAATTATAAATACAATAAAATATATCATCCTTTTTTTTTGTGTATCTTTATTTTTTTATTCAAGATTTTATACATGATGTATTGTTTTATTTATTTGTAAACTTAAGATCATATTCAATTAGTTAATTTCACCTTTCCATTATTGAAATTTTGTGAAAGTATCCAATTAAGAAAATTATAATTTTAAAAAATAATTCTATTTCAATATATATAATTTAAAACCTCAAACAATAGATTTTTTTCTCTTAAAAAAAGTATGACCATTAAATAATCTTTAATGATCAGCTTGGAAAACAAAAAAAGAAAAAAAATGCATGTTTTACAAAAATAAAAATTCATATTTTACTTTACATTTTCAAACATACACTAAAAAGAAATCCATACATTTACAAATATCCATCCTTTTTAAAACAGGCTAATCCATACATTAACAGTAACAACAAGCATACAACCTTTTTATCTTTTTAAAATAAATAAAAATAGAGAGTAGCTAAGATGTTTGGAATCTTATTATATCAAGAAATAATTAGTGATATTTTATTATATTTTTTTTCTCAATTTTATTTTTTCTCTTTTTATATTTGATTATTTTTTCAAAGTAAATACAAGAGAGTAATTAATAGGATACTTGTTATTAATGAATGACAATAAAATTAGATAAATTGGAAATTTATTTCATTTAAGAGCTCTCCCAGCTTTATGGAAGCAGCAATAGCCTTTTGTAAGTAGATGCGCTGTGAAATTCTTCAGGCGTGGTTATGGTTTTAAGATCTTTCTATCGTGAGCGCATTAACATTTCCTTTTCTTCTTCGGACTAGAATACTGACTTTTCTCTTCTGTGATTGTTATGATTTGTTGTACGAAGCCCATTGGCTCGGCAGCACAGGGAGATGACAGAGGGTGCATTTATCAGGATAGCATTCCGAATCAGATAAAGTAGTTCTTCCATGCATCCAGTCCACGGACAAAATGAGATTATTAGTTAGAACTGAAGAAGACAACGATCATCCTCCTCCTCTCGTCCTGTTATTGTTGACGATCCACTCCTCCTCCTCTCGTCTGCCTTGTTTTTCCTCGGGACATCTCATATGGAGATAAAATCAGTCCTGCCTGCCCCTATGCTCTCGTCTGAATTGTTCAAGGTAGTGGCATCCTGAAATCGAGCCAAGATTCTAATTTCTCGGCTCTTTCAAGGCCACGCAAAAGAGCACTATAGCTGTTGGGCTCGAGCAAATATAGTGAGGCACTATAAAAGACCGGCCCATGAGACGCACAATCCGTCCTTTTTTACCAATATAGCTGTCCCAACTCCCAAGACCCTCCATTTCTCCAACCCACCATCGACTTTACAGTCGGTCACATGAGGATAATGACAACTACCTTTTAAGTTCCGTATTTATGTGGATTATAAAAGAACTATCCGAAAAAAACCTGATAAATTTATTACAGGAGAGATTGCGTCCGCCAAATAAACAATTACTCGCATATTTTTTGAACTTTTAGCTTTTGTAGCTCGAATTTGTTAAACAAAGGGAAATCTTGGTAAAAAAAAGAGGGTATGAAACTTCTGCAAGACAAAAGAGGTTGTATTTTTTTCATTCAAGATTTATTTATTTTAAAGTGTTCCAATTATGGGTTTTTCGTGCTGTTTCGTTGATACTGATTGGTTGCGCTTCAACCCTTGTCTGTAGCTTCATGCCTTTTGTTCTCCCAAATCAAATCAAAGAGTGTTGCAAAAACTTTCATCAAGTACATATACACATCAATTTTGCACATCTTCCTTAAGATTCCTCTTTTTTTTTTCTTTTTTTTTAAGTGAGTGCTAAGCCTGTGTAGGTCACAGGGCCACATTTTTATTTTTAAAAAATTACAAAATTTCACACAAGAAAATCCCACACCAAAATACAACAATAATGATGAAATGAAATAAAGACTCCTAAAACTAGTCTCCGTGTAAAGAAAGACTCTCAAACAATATTTCGAACATAGAAAAAGAGCAACCAACTGAAAATTTATAGGAGCAAGACTTAAACTATGGATCTTAAGCTTCCCCGGAACTCCGATCTTCCATGAAAACGGTTCTTCTAGTTGTTAGACACTGCTCGCTTAAACCCAAATGCGCCATGAGAAGGCACACACGAGTGAGGAGCTCCCCACCACGTGTAAGTGCTTGAGCATACTCTTTCCATCCACAATTAGATGCTGCATAAGCCAACATCTCCACCCATATTTGACTTATCATCCTCCACTTTTTTTCGCTGGTCGAATTATTCTCCGGAGATTGTAATTCCTTGGCGAGCTTGCAAGCATCACGTAGCATTGACACCTTGTTTCCATTTTTTTTTATTTTATTCAAAAACTCTTCAGAACCCCAATCAGTGGGTGTTATTATTTCCGATCTCCAGCACCACGAGAATTCGGTGACTTGAATGCCCGTTTGCTTGTACCTTTCGTCACCAATCCCTTTAGGCAGCATATTTGGACGTTCAATTAGAAGATACAACATGTAATTAGACAACGATCTGCTCATTTTGCAATATGGAGGAGGATTCTTTGCATCAACATTCTTTTTGCGAATATCATCATGATAGCAAATATCAGTGGCAATGTGCCATAAAAGGAGGCTCCCATGAAAGTCTATTTCAACCACAGCCCAACGAAATTCTTCCAAGCATCCCATGCTTTTCAGTACCTGATCGCCTCTTTCTGCCAATATCTCCTTCAAATCATTCATGCCAGGATCAGGTTGAGGCATTTCATGACTATATCTCGAACGTTTATCTAAGACGTATTCCCAAGTTAATTCTTTTAATCCGTCGCTGATAACCTCCCAACTTTGAATGTTATACTTGCCTATCAACTTCAGAAAACAAGCTTTGGCTGTTGGTTTACATACCAATGAATTTATGACCATCTTCCACAAAGCTCCGTTCTTGGTTATTTGAGCATCTGTTAAGTCGTGTTGTGCCATGTATCTTTCCCACCCTTTGTTCCTGTCGGAATAGATAGCTCGATAGACAGAATCGGCCCAAGACTTTCTTAGCATGCTAAGATGAAGCATAGCCCATTCAGATAAGAGTAGCATGATGGCCCCATATATCTCAAGAACAACTCCACCACCCAGCAAGATGTATGATATAATTAACTCTGTTTCTGGATAGGCATGTTTGTTCGCGATCATTAATGAGAAGGTGACCAATGCAGAAGTAGAAGATAGGAAACTAATGGAGCGAAGAATTGCACGCGGTAAACTGACCCTTGTCACCTTTGTAAAAAACACATTGTACACAAATCCCGACTCGAGTTCTATCAATTTGAAGGCTTCTGTGGCTTTCTTGCTACTTATGATATGATAGCTGACCATATAGCTACTATGGTTAAGGCCGAGATCTGCGAAAAGTATCTTGAAGATTTGAAACAAAAAATGTGCTTCATAGAGTTACACAGCCTCAGGTATTATGTAGTTAAATTCTAAACCTTCTTTCACTTCTTCAATAGACATGTCAAATAAGCCAACAGATGGAAATTTCTCGCTCAATTCGCTATTGAAATTTCTTCCAATTTCGGAGGCCCTAAACTTCTCGGAGCTAGCTTGCGAAAGAGCTGAAATCCTTTCTCCATACTTGGTAATTCCAGCAACAAAAACGGGAAGGGCCGAAATCCTTTCTCCATACTTGGTAATTCCAGCAACAAAAACGGGAAGGGCTATATATATGAGTGGATCCGTACCCCATGATTTGAACAAGAAATAAGAAGCCGCGGCAGTTTGAATTGCTAGCTGGAGAATGTGCCTTGACCATATTTCGTTGTCTTCTAGTGCATAAGCAGTTATAGTGTAGGGCCACCAAGGTGTACAAGGAGTATTGGTGCTGAAAATGATGGAATGAAGTTTGGAGTCGGATTGGTGGGATTTGTTTCCAAACCTCCTTGGCTACGGGAAGCAATACCCAATGCTAAAGTTGCCACCCAATCCGCAGACAAGTATGCTATCCAGACAATCCATTCGAGCCCGATTCCACTGCTGTACTTCCGCCGATTTCCAATGACAACGAGCAAGATTTGGAGAACCAGACTTAACAAAATCAGTGAGCGAAACTCCCATTCATTCCACAATTCTTGAGCACGTTTGGACAAGTTGTTGATATCCATCTTATGTCCTTTTGTTCGCCTTCAACAAAAGGTGCAACTAATTTAATTTTTCCAGTAATGAAATCAGCTCTAGTAAAGATTCCAAAAAAACCAGAGACAAAATCTAACTAATGCAACAACGAACAGAGTACTAGCTAGTACTAAACACAGAAACAATCACAAATTATTTGAAAAACAAGATCATTATATCACTGAAAACAATGAATCTTAACAAATTGACCATTTCCAGCTTCTTGCAGACATGGTGGTTTTGGTTACTTCTAATAACAACACAAGCAGTAAATTTGATGTAGGACATGAGGAAGAGGTAGCTGTGTGAGAGCTGCTCTAATTACATTAATTACACCCCAAAACTCTTGTTATCTGGATGGCAAGAATGTTAAAGTAAATTGATTTCTAAAAATTGGTTGAATGAGTCAAGAGGCTAGGAACAAGTTGACTGGTAGAGACAGCACAACCAAGTGAAATAAATTAAAATGATTGACCGATTAAAAAAACGGTCAACTAGTTTAAATATGTATAATTCAATTTTTATTCAAATTAAAATTTCTTTATGTTAGTTTAATTTTTTAATTGTCTAGAATTTAATATTTATAAATGAACTTGTAATTCAGCATTATTAATATATATATATATATATATATATATATATATATATATATGTAGCTATGAGAGCATAATTAAAAAGAAATACTTAATAAAAATATATCTTTCTCTTAATATTTTTCTTCTTTTTGGTTTTTAACTTTGTATTAGTATTTTAAATCTTCATGCACACCCATCCTTCTTCTAACAAAGAAAAAAAATTAAAAATTCTCAAACCAACCTGCTTCTATAATATCCAAAACCATACCTGGAGAGTTTATGCGGCAGGGCAATGATCGATGGGGACTGTGCTGCTTAATTATAATTTTCCGTCAACTTGAGTTCGTTTTAGAAGTGTATCTGGCCAAAATCCTCTTCCCTCCTCCCCCTTCTCTAGTGACTTAATCTCTCTTCTCTCATCATTCAGTGATTGATACGCGTGAGGAGTGAAGTTTTAGAACCGAAACGTAATATCCTATAATTTTCACATGAGTTGTTTTAGAGGTGCTGGTTCCACAAATATTTCGCTAATCAATTTGTCTCTTTAAAAGCGTCAAGTGTAGCAAATTGTCAACATTTTTTCTCAACCACCCTCTCCTTTAACAACCACCATCAACCACTTCCAACCACCATTCAACCACCCTCAACCACCCTCAACCAAGTTGCCAAGGCTCTCCTATAAATAGAGATAAAGAGAGAGCAAAAGTGTAGTGAAATTGTGGTGAGAGCAAAGGGTGAAAGTGTGGTGAGTGCAACTGTGAGAGTGAGAAAATACAGATTTGAGAGAAACACCGAGTGTAAGATTTATGTTATTAATTTCAATTTGAGACATAATTTCATACAAATATTTGTTTGTACATTATTCTTAATTTATTATCGCAGGTATGAAACTATATACTTTTTTTTTAAATTCCAATACATATACTTTATGGATTTTAATAGACGTTTCTATTTAGTAACGATGTAGGTAAGTTTTAAAAAAACTAAAAGAATGTTTGGAAACACCTACTAACTTGTGTTTTAAAAAAAATTAATTTGTTTATTAAAAATTATTTTTTTTGTTTTGGATTGTTATGATATACTAATTTAAAAAATAATTTTTAAAAAATAAAAAATATTATTTTAATCCTAAATATACTTCATGAACAAATTTGAAAAAAAAAATGCGCTACATAGGATTACCTTGGTGAAATAAATTTATAAATTTTTAATTTAATTGTTAGCAAGATATTTTACAAGCTTAATTTTATATTGGAATCAAATGATTGTAATCACCATATATTTATAAATTCAAATTACTTTCAAATTAAGATTGAAAAATTGAAAAATGTTGTTTGAGCTGATTTTATTATTATGATTATTATTTTATTTAAAATTTAGATTTTTATTTTTTATTCTACTTAAGATTTTGATTTTTCTTTCATGCAAAGATCAAATTTTAGACAATTTAAAGAGTTTTAAAGCTTATAAAGAGATAAAGAGATGTACCATATCAGATAAAAAATTCACTAAATAAGCATAATTAATCATGTTACGCTGTGTCAATGAATCATCCTTCAGTTATGTTAAGCTTTTATTTATTTTAATCCTTCAGTTATTTTAAGTTTAATTTCATATGTAATTTATTTATTTATTAATTTAATTTAGGATTTTGAATTTTCTACCATGTAAAGAGTGATTTAAAGTGGTGTAAAACTTTTAAAGAGACAGATTAATTAGTAAATCTTTTCTACTTGTAACTTTTGCAAGTTTTGATGTTAAGCCTCGTGGCTTGTCAAAATACTCCCGGATCTCGGGCAAGAAAAGGAACGGAGATGATGTGTGGACGGAATGAATTTTTTTTTTTTTTTTTGTTAAAAGAGTTAAATACACTTGGACGCTAGCCCAAATTCACCTAGCTAGACAGAGGCTGGAGGAATTTGGGCTCAAGTCTAGGCCATCTCCTCTTACTTTTTTCATATTATTATTTATAAATTTTTTAATAATTTAATTTGTTGAATTTCTTTTCTGTGCTTTTTTTTATTTAAATTATAAATACAATAAAATATATCATCCTTCTTTTTTGGTGTACCTTTATTTTTTTTCTTTTTTAATTTTATTCAAGATTTTTATACATGATATTATTTTTTATTCGTTTGTAAACTAAAGATCATATTCATTTAGTTAATGTCACCTTTCCATTATTGAAATTTTGTGGAAATATCCAATTAAAGAAATTTTAATTTTAAAAAATCATTCTAGCCCAATATATATTATTTAAAACCTCAAACAATAACTTTTTTCTCTTAAAAAAATATGACCATTGGAAAAAGAAGAAGAAGAAGCAAATATGCTTGATTTATTTATTTTGAAGTGTTCCAATTATGGGCTTTTCTGTTTTCTTGGTATTGATTGGTTGAGTTCCAACCCTTGCATGTGGCTTTATACCTTCTGTTCCCCCAAATCAAATCAGAGTGTTGCAGAAGCTTTTATCAAGTAATTTCTAATGCGCTTAAATTTTGCACATCTTCCTTAAGATTCCTGGTTTTTTTTACCTTCAAGCGAGTGCTAAGCCTGATGGAGGCCACAGGGCCACATTTTTATTTAAAAAAAAATTACAAAATTTTACACAAGAAAATCCCACACCAAACTACAATACTAATGATGAAATGAAATAAAGAGTCCTAAAACTAGTCTCCGTGTAAAGAAGACTCTCAAACTGGATCAAACAATATTTCAAACATAGAAAAAGAGCAACCAACTTAAAAATTACAATACTAATGATGAAATGAAATAAAGACTTAAAACTATGGATTTTGAGCTTCCCTGGAACTGGTGCTTGCACTTGTTAGACACTGCTCGCTTAAACCCAGATGCGCCATGAGAAGGCACACACGAGTGAGGAGCTCCCCGCCACGTGTAAGTGCTTGAGCATGCTCTTTCCATCCACAGTTAGATGATGCATAAGTCAACATCTCCACCCATATTTGACTTATCATCCTCCACTTTTTTTCGTTGGTCCAATTATTCTCCAGAGATTGTAATTCCTTGGCGAGCTTGCAAGCATCATGTAGCATCGACACATTGCTTCCCTTTTTTTTTATTTCATTCATAAACTCTTCAGAACCCCAATCGGTGGGTGTTATTTCTTCCGATCTCCAGCACCACGAAAATTCGGTGAGTTGAATGCCCGTTTGCTTGTACCTTTCGTCACCAATCCCTTTAGGCAGCATATTTGGACGTTCAATTAGAAGATACAACATGTAATTAGATAAGGATCTGCTCATTTTGCAATATGGAGGAGGATTCTTTGCATCAACATTCTTTTTGCGAATATCATCATGATAGCAAATATCAGTGGCAATGTGCCATAAAAGGAGGCTCCCATGAAAGTCTATTTCAACCACAGCCCAACGAAATTCTTCCAAGCATCCCATGCTTTTCAGTACCTGATCGCCTCTTTCTGCCAATATCTCCTTCAAATCATTCATGCCAGGATCAGGATGAGGCATTTCATGACCATATCTCGAACGTTTGTCTTTGATGTATTTCCAAATTAATTTTTTTAATTCGTCGCTGATAACCTCCCAACTTTGAATGTTGTACATGCCTATCAACTTCAGAAAACAAACTTTGGGTGTTGGTTTACATACCAACGAATTTATGACCATCTTCCACAAAGCTCCGTTCTTGGTTATTTGAGCATCTGTTAAGTCGTGTCGTGCCATGTATCTTTCCCACCTTTTGTTGTTGTCAGAATAGATAGCTTTATGAACAGCCTTATAGATAGCATTGGCCCAAGGCTTTTTTAGCAAGCTAAGCCGAAACATAGCCCATTCAGATAATAGAAGCATTATGAATCCATATATTTCAAGAACAACTCCTCCTCCCAGCAAGATGTATGATATAATCACCTCGGTTTCTGTATAGGCACACTTGTTCGCGACCATCATCGAGAAGGCGACCAATGCAGAAGTAGAAGACAGGAAACTGATGGAGCGAAGAATAGTACGCGTTGAACAAACACTTGTCATCTTTGTAAAAAGCACATCGTACATAAACCCCAACTCGACTTCTATCACTTTGAAGGCATCTGTGGCTTTCTTCTTGCTTCTCAGGATAAGATAGCTTTCCATATGGCTAGAATGGCTAAGCGCGAGATCTGCATAAAATATCTTGAACATTTGGAACAAAAAATGTGCTTCATGGAGATACAAAGCCTCAGGTATTATGCTGTTAAATTCTAAACCTTTATTCAAGTCTTCCTCAGACATGTCAAAAAAGCCAACAGATGGAAATTTATTGTCAAATTTGCTCTGGAAAGTATCCACTTCTTCATTTTCGATGTCCCTAAACTTCTTGGAGCTTGCTAGCCAGAGAACCAAAACCCTGTCTCCATACTTGGTAATTCCAGCAACAAAGATGGGAATGGCTATATATATGAGTGGATCCTTACCCCATGATTTGAACAGGGAATAAGAAGCTGTAGAAGCTTGAATCGCTAGCTGGAGAAGGTGCCTTAACCACAATTCGTTGTCTTCCAGTGCATAAGCAGTAATAGTGTCAGGACCACCAAGGTGTACAAGGAGAATTGGTGCCCAAAATGCTGGAATATTGTTTGGAGTTGGATTGATGCGATTCGTTCCCGAACCTCCTTGGCTACGTGAAACACTACCTAATGCATAAGTTGTCACCCAATCCGCGGACAAGTATGCTATCCAGACAAGGCCTCCAAGCACGATTCCAGTGTGGTACTTCCGCCGATTTCCAATAACGATGAGCAAGATTTGGAGAAAGAGACTTAACAAAATCAGTGAGCGAATCTCCCATTCATTCCACAATTCTTGAGCACGTTTGGACAAGTTGCTGATATCCATTTTCTTTCCTTTTGTTTTCCTTCAACACAAGGTGCTATGTAAATTAAAATTTCCAATAATGAAATCAGCTTTAGTAAAGATTCCAACCAAGCCAGAAACAATATTTAACTAACGCAACAATGAACCGAGTACTAGCTAGTACTAATCACAGAAACAGTCACAAACTATTTGAAAAACAAGATCATTACATTACTGCAAATTATGGAGCTTAACTAATCGACCATTTTCAGCTTCTTGCATGCATAGTGGCTTTGGTTGCTTCAGCTAACACAAACATCTCTAAATTAAAAGCATAAATATCATTGAAATTGATTTGTGCTTAGAGCTACTCTAATTAAATTAATTACACCCTAAAACTCATGTTAATTGGATGGAAAAAAAAATAACAATCTACAAACACATGTATAACATATGTAGTTCATGAGTTTTCAGGCCAATTCACTTCTACAATAGCCAAAACAATACCTGGAGATTTTATGTGGCAGGGCAATGATGGGGACTCTGCTGCTTAGTTATAATTTTTCCGTCGAGTTGAGTTGGTTTTAGAAGTGCTGGTTCCACAAATACTTTACAATTACAAAGTTTTGATATATTCCTGTAGAACGATGATTACTTACAAGGTACAAAAGAGAGGAAATGTTCTTCCAGAATAGGTACCTTTCCCTTGTCGCAAGGTAAAATTTTATTCTTCTGGCATCTACTTAGCCCGTGATTTTCATGGAAACACTTCCTGTTTTGGAAGAAAATTATTTGTACGTACGTATATAAAATAAGTGAAGAAGTTTATGGTGGAAGCTTTGAGAGAAAAAGAAGTTTCAATGGTACTAGGCAATGGATGATTTGTATCCCTAAGTGATATTATTCGGATAGTGGATTGCAGCTGCCCTTTTAATTTGCTCTGTTAGTCTCACGTTTCTTTCTGCTAGCATTTGGAAAAGAAGTAGGAGATGTTGGAGATAGGTGCGTGACAGAAATGGAATATATTTGTTTTGGTTACCAGAGAAAGACAAAATTCTCGAGAAAGAAATTTGGTGTATTTCTATACTTTTAATATGAGAGGATAGACGTACGGAGGTGAGGATATTATGAAATTTTATTCTAAAATTGTTCTTGTAAATTAAATTTTCAAAACTACAAGTTATGTCCTTTACTTGTAATAATGACCATTAATTTTGTATGCATCATTCATGACCATTGGATTTGATTTAACAAAAATAGTAAAAAGTTTGAAATTCATAATCATTTAAAAAAAAAAGGGAACGTGAATTTACCGACGTTCTGCATGTTTACGTATGCCCGAAGCAGGAGAAGAGAAAGTACCTGGAGATGGTCCTTGTCTTTGTCTTCTCTCTTTTCTCTTTATGTTCAAATCAGAGACAATTTAAAGGAACGAAACGCGAGTAGTAAAGAATCCAAAAGGGATTACAGTATCCAGAAGAAATTATTACTTCGGTAGCTTCCCTCAAGAACGCTTCCTCTTCAGTCGTTATCAGTACCATTTGTGACGTAGTGGAATGATTTCATTCATTTGATGAAAACATCTGGACAAAGAAAATAATAAAGTAGTGAAAGATAACTAAATATTAGATTCCTCCTTGTTGAGAATCTCTTTTTCATTAGTTATGTAGACGCCCGATTTTATCGAAATGAGATTATAAAAAGTGTATTTATTAGTTGAATGGTAGTGGTTAGTGTAATAATTTAATTTTGAATTCTTTAAAATCTTTTTGACTGTTATTTTTATTTTTATTCATAAAAATCTAAAAAATAAAAATAAATTAAAAATTTAAAAATATTTTTTTGATGTCAATTGTTTTTTTAATCAAAATCAAGCTCATCAAATTAATAAAAATTATATCATATCATAAAATATAAAAAATAAGTTTCAGGTTATTTCAGATCAAAACCAATTCCATTAAATTATTACAAATTAAACCATGAATGGGATAAAAAATAAATTTTAGATCATTTTAAGTCAAAACTATCACTTTAAATCAAAATTTAGTCCACTGAGTCACTATAAATTAGACCATATTGACCAAGATAAAAAATAAATTTTATGTTATTTTGGATTAAAACTATTATTTTAGATCAAAATCTGGTCCACGATCAGGTTGATATCTATTAAAAAAATATTTTTAATATTTTAAATTAATATTTTGATAAGCAAAATTAATTTTTAATCATTAAAACAAATTATTTTTAATACTAATTTAAATTTTTAATTTTATCTATGTAAATATTTATTATTATATATAATATAGCAAAATTACTAATACAGAAATTTTTATTGCAGTAATTAGTATGGCTGGGGCGGTGAAAAGTTTTCTTCACTGCAGAACTGTGTGTCCTGATTATAATTTTTCGTGTCTCTTGGCATTGCTTCCAATAAAAATTCGTAGAAAGGGAGAAGAAGAAAACAAAGAGAGATACTAATATCATTATTGATGTTTTTTTAATGTAAGTAAAATATTAATTTTTTTTAAATAATTTAAAAAATATTAAAAATATCCTAACTATTACATAAAAGAATATTTACTTATAGACCCTCTCAAGGAAATCAGAGGTCGGAATAGCAAAGCCCCTACTTAAATTTCGATCTTAGGTCTTCTTTTAACTTCAGAGTGAAAATAAATGATGGAAAAATTTCGGAATGCACATGTCACCCTAGACATTTCACCTAAGAGATTGGCTATAAGATCTAATTGGGATTGTTATACTGGATTAAAACCTAAATTTATCTCAACTCTTAAAACAATCTGCTCTTTTATTCTGTCGTGCCACGGCACATTTCAGAGACTGAATAAGCTGTACGTGTTTAAGTTTATAGATAGCTGGTAAACCGTTGTCGCTGATGGTTTGAAGGTTCCTGCTTTGATTTTTAATTAAACAACATGATTACTGGGCTTCTTACCTGGGCCAACACGCTCAGTGGGCTTCCTAACCAGACCAATAACTCGATGACAGATGTCTATCCTACAGCGTGAGACACTAGATTAACATCATATTAATGCAAGATCTGCAACTGTCTACATAATTTCTTTTTAATTACTCCATTGTCTAAGTGGGAAATAGGATATAATTACACGTTCTTTTGTCAGTGAAATAGTATAAAACTATATATTCTTAGGAATTTATCAAACAATTGGATTCGTTTTGTTTTTGACACTCTTCAATAGATAAGGTATGGCGATTACAAATTAAATTAGAGATACAAATTATCATTTTTTATTGTGTTCTTCAGCTTTTTTTTCTTAACTCATTGCATCCCTTGATTAAGCATACAACAAACCATAGTTAATGCATAACACTTGGCAAAGGACGATCAGATTTTGGAATGGCAAAGCTTTACGAGGAGGAGGATCCACACGTTGCGGTTAGAGCTGCAGGAGGAGGAGGAGGAGAAGATCTGTAAGTAAAAATTGACTTGACCATTTTATATGGAAAAAATTGTCTCTGATTTCGTTTCTGTAGCAATCCATACATGTCACCAGAGTATTTAACCCAAATTGGGTTAGCTTTTCATTATTTATTTATTTTTTCTTATTTAACTTGGGAATTTTATTTTTTCTTACCGAGTCTAGGCTTAAGAGTAGAATTAATAGGATTACATAGGTTGTATTTGTACAACAACTTGGATAAATTGAATTAAATTAAATATTTTGATATCTCCACGTAGTTACGATTTGATATTATTTGATCTATCATTTCTCAATGCCTTTTCAGTTCATACATGTCACCAGAGTATGCAATCCGGAGAACCATGACAGCGAAAGCCGATGTCTATAGTTTTGGGATCCTTCTCCTTGAAATCGTTAGTGGGAGAAACAATGCTGAGTACAGAGAAAAGGAAGAAACTGTTGTTCTTCTAGATACGGTGGGAGCTGGATCGATTATTGTTTTACTTAGTTAATTTTTCTTAGCTAAAATATGATCAGCAGGGATTAATTAACAATTTTTAGTATTTTTTGTGCATTAATAGTGCATAGTTATGACATTCCTCTTGGGCATATTTCTTACAAGTTCAAACAATTTCAGGCCGCTAATTTACGTGCGCGGGGAACGCTAGGAGACTTGGTTGACTCAAGGTTGGGCCGTAATTATGACAGGAACCAAACGAACATTGTTCTGAATTTGGCAATGATGTGCACCGAACAATCACCTTCTCGCAGGCCTACAATGTCTCAAGTTGTGGCTGTACTTGAAGGCGAAAAAACCCTTAACAATATTTCTGAAGAGATCGCTCCCTCGATCTCTCCTGCTTGAGTACCGGATGGTCAATATATATATATATCTTGTGTGTTTTGCCATGTTTCCATATCTATTGATTCTTGATTCTTTTCTTTTCTTTTCTTTTTGTTGGTTTCTTGCCCTTGATCCTCCTTTTGATTTAAATCTTCCTAGTAAAGATTGAAGGAAAAACATATACTGGTTCTTAAGAATTATGGCCCTGAAAATTGGAGACCTAGCTCGTTGATATTATGTAATATCTATATAAATTGTTTCATGTTTTCAATTATAATTGCCACCTTATTTATGTCAGTCTTCTCGCACTCGTGTATCCGAAAGGATTATTCAAACACGCTCGTCTCAAAACTCAACTTAAATCTTGGGAGACACTAGTAATTGTAAAGCCATTTAATTAGGTGGCATAATTAATGGAATTTGAGTGGGAGATGAGTTATAATTGGTGGAGTATGAGTGGAGGATGAGTTGTTAGGCATATATTCCTCCTAAATTTATGACCATTATACCCTCACTCTTGCCTATAAATAGGCAATGCATTCAAGCCTATATGCACA